TTGTCTAGTGTTTACAGATTTCGCCGAGCAGAAACCGCATGTATACGTTGACATTTCAACATCTGCACGCAGAAAATACAAAAGAACTTCAATAAGTTGAATAAGAACTTCAAAGGTGTTACTAAATATCGCCCTATGTTTTGGGCAGCTAGTTACAACTGCGTCCAATGGAAATCATTTTCTCATGGATCACAAATGCTGACTTAATCTGCCAAGAATAAAGAGGAGCGGGTCGGATGGTTACCTTTTGCTAGCAAAACACGAAGAGCATTGAGGACCCAAAATTCCGAAAGGTGTTGCCAAATACAGCTATGGTAATATATTCCTTGGGTCGAAAATCTTTAGTATTTCTTAGTATAAATGATTCTTCTATTAATCACAATTTATTCAACATGTCGACAAAAGGAAAATAGAAGCTCGTATATATACTATAATTTCACTTTCTTCATTTTCAGCACTTTTAAAAACTTCTCCTGGAGACAACTTACCTGAGAATGTAAATGGAGCTTGTGTAAAGAAAGACCCAGTAGCGGATTTTTGCCAATTAACAGGTAAGGAAATATAGTATTCCTAAATAAAGTGTTATGTTTTTCATTGCGAATGAATCATTTTATTTCGTATCATGAGAATTTATTCATAATAAGCATTATTTTTAAAGATAAAGAAAAATGCCATTAAAATATAAAAAAAAAGAAATTAAGGACCCCCCCCCCCCCCCCCCCCCCCTCATCCAAACCCTCAAGTAAAACGGAGAGTTATCAGGTCCTTGTAAATGTAAGGATCCGGTTATCAAAATGTATTGTATTGGATGTTTACATGTAGGCTCAGACGAAAATAAAACATTATTAGTTATCGCCATGACAATTACAAAATGTTTTTGTTGAGAGACACTGAATTTACAAAATAAACTAAACTAGGTATCTCCTAAGATTCCATCTTATCTATTTGTTTCAATGTAGGAGATTCCAGGACTGACCAAGCACCTAGTCTCCAATTAAACCATCTTGTTCTTGTTAGGGAACATAACAGGATTGCTAAATTACTGAAACCAATCAACGCGGAATGGGATAACGATAGAGTTTTCGAAGAAACACGAAGAATAGTCATAGCCGAAATGCAGCACATAATATATAATGAGTACCTACCAGCCATTCTTTCTCCAGAAACTATGAAAACGTACAAACTTGAACCAAACAAATTTGGATTTGATGACTGTTATAATGATAAGATCGATGCCTCGGTAAGGAACGCTTTTGCAGTAGCACCATTTCGAATGGGACATTCCCAAGCGATGAGGGAACAGTCATTGCTTAAAGATGATTATGAAACTGAAACTACTGAACTTCTTGTAGACAACTTTAGGTCTCCACATCTAATTCAAAAAAATATGGGTGAAAACGTTGAAGATTTCATACGATGGTTAACATTTAATCCAGCTAATGAAATTGACAGGTAAAATATGTTAAATTGTTCAACCGACCTACATTATATGTCAACGAGCAAAGCAAACTATTACCCACGCTGTTTATTAAAATATTATCTTATAATACCTTATAATCACCTTTATATACAATTGGTATGAAAAACAGGTGGTATAAAAAAAATTCTTAAAAAAGATACCAAAATTTATGTTAAATTAAAAAAAGTCCATAAACAGCAACAAAATCATACGTTAGACTTTATCAACTAATGGAACGAATCGAAAACATTTGTTAAACTCCCGACTTTGGTATAGGTATTTTCATAAGGAATGGTGGGTTAAACCTGGAATACGACAATCAGATTATTCGAAGGATTTTTGTTTGCTTAACATTCGGTGGCAAATATTTCATAAGGAAGAGAATAAATTAACTCAATACACTAGATAGGTTTTGCAAGGTAAAGAGACCTTGTTAAATGTAGTGATATTTGCATGCACTATCAAATAAAGTTTTGTTTGATATGGTCAGACATTATGCCTTACACGAGACTGCCTATGGACCCATCAGAATATATATAGGCAACAAAAGTTTACCGATGTTCAAATCTCATAAATATATTAAGAAGACTCAAATTAAGATAAAAAAAAATCATCAAAGATAGCAGGCTTATAATTTGGTATGCCAGACGCGCGTTTCGGTAACAGAGGACTCATCTTTGGCGCTCGAATTAGATCAGTTGGAAGGCCAAATCAAATACGAAGTTGGAGCGCACTTAAAAACAAACCTGAGGAAATCAGATAAACTCAACAAATAGCGAGACCAGTGTGCCGAACGAGATAGCGGCTTCTGCTGTACATGCCTCACCCGGCATGCGAATCCATACTCAGTCTCAATAAAAAAAAATCGTTCTGTTTTATGTGCAGTTGAATTAACATTCAACAGTCAGTCCAACAAATAACCAATCCTTCAAATAGTGTTTCCTCTGTTGATATTTACTTTATAATATTTGCTAAGGACATCGGTGGCCTAGTGGTCTCAGTAGTTAAACTACTGCAAACACTAGCCTGTCACCAATTAGGTTGTGAGTTTGAGCACGTGTCAGGTCCGTTTGACTCTAATCATAATTAACTAGGATTGCCACTTTTCTTACAGAAATTCGATGATTATCTCAGGGCACTCCGGCTTCTTCCACCAATAAAAACTAGTCGCCACGAAATAGCCAATAAAGCTGAAAGTAGCGTAAAGCACACAAAAACAATCAATCAATCAATATTATTAGTTACATAGTGTGCTAGTGACCTAATACGGTATATATGGGGTCAGTAAATTCCATATGGGGTGAGAGCGTATTAGGTCACTAGCACACTAACGAATTTATCTTACCGACTATCTTAACGTGTGAAATTTAGACTAGTGACCTATCAAATGAGCAAGTCTTCAATACTGTTAGCATTAAGAAACTACTTCAATTGATCCTACAAAAACAGATACCAACAATAACAACTTGTTAGGTTTAAATGTGTTTTATGAATTAATTTCAATCTTACTCATCACTTTCTTCGTCTGTTGAAACCTTTACGATTTTTTCTCAGTATTGTTTTGTTTTTATAAAGGGACGTAACACAACTACTAACCGTGTATGAAATAAGCCCCGCCTCCCTACTACCTTATAAGGAATATAAAGGGACGTAACACCACTACTAACCGTGTATGAGATAAGCCCCGCCTCCCTACTAACCTAATATGAAATATACACGGTCTCCACGAGGGCGCTTTTAACCAATCACATTCCTAGAAATGTATAGGAGGTAAGATAAAATATTTTCCATTATAGTTTTGGAGTGAATGCAATGCGTAACAAGCTGTTTGGTTTTAAAGATTTATTGTCCACTAACATACAAAGGGGACGAGATCAGGGCACACCAAGCTATAATGACTGGAGGGAATTTTGTGGACTGAAAAGACTAAAGTTCAAAAACTTTAAAGTTCCTAAAGATATCAAAAATGTCCTCAAAGAATTATATACGTAAGTAATATCATGAGGGAAACGTTATTGACGAATTGAAATACAATGTAAAATATAAAAAAGAATGCAACAAAAGATAACAAAATAATCGGACACGGTTGGAGGAAACTTCCAAGCAAGGACCGAAGCTTAAAATCTCGACAATCAATGCAGGACTTCGGGAAAGTTTGGAGAGCCGACAACCTTGCTTCGGAAGTTGGATTGGAGGTTTGTTGCCTTTTGCTTTTGCTAGTACATTCCTATGATGGAGGACCTTTAGTTGGAATTGGAATCTTTATTCCGTTTTGCCATATGATTTGATTCATACAAAAGGTCTGTAATTAAAGGAGAACGAGTTCTTGTTTTGTCAATACCTACAAACACGTTGATGAACTCTATACGGTGACCTTAAGCTATTATCACTATTGTAGTTGGTCTTTATTTGATGCTTGTCTAAATGTCATTCATACCATTTAGATATAAGAAGATGTGGTTTGAGTGCCAATGAGACAACTATCCATCCAAGTCACAATTTGTAAATGTAATCCATTATAGGTCAAAGTACGGCCTTCAACACAGAGCCTTGGCTCACAACGAACAGCAAGCTGTAAAAGGCCCCAAAAATTACTTGTGTGAAACCGTTTAAACAGGAAAACCAACGGTCTAATCTATATAAAAAACGAGAAACGAGAAACTCTTATGAACCACATCAACAAACGACAACCACTGAACATCAGGTTCCTGACTTAGGACAGGTGCAAACAAATGCAGCGGGTTTAAACGTTTTAATAGGAGCCAACCTTCACCCTACCTGAAACAATAGTGAAACATCACAACATAGAAAGACACATATCGACTTTCATTTTTTAATTAATTGCTGGAACATGTGTTGAAAAGTCATGTATACTGTATTTTATTCTCATGATGTGTGGATGTTTTTTTCCTGTGTTTTCACGTCGTTTTCATTTCTGTTTGAGTATATGTATCTATAACGTTTTATTTGATTTTTTGTATTTCGTCAAACATAACGGACTATAAATATAATTCCGATTATGATTCAACTACTAATTTCGGTATTTTGATATTTTTCAGCAAGTGTATTTCTTCGTCACTAGAATATGTCTCATAGATTATTTTACCAAACTTGTATTTCTTCGCTTAATAGTTTACATAAAAAAATTTAAAAATAAAATCATAGGTTGAAAAAAAGCGGCAAAAACAATGGCAAAAAGGAAAATGACAAAAAGAGAAACAACAGTCCACGAATCTCTACACAGAAAACCAAGGTTCGTGCAACATGTGCAACACGAATTCGTTCAAAACATTTAGTATAACACTAGTGACATTCGTCATGTTGGTCCTATTACATTGTAAGAAGGTTAACTGATGAGTCATATCCGATAATTTCATCAAATCAAATACAAATTGTGTTCACTTTGCATAGAACAAGTGATCTACTTTACCGGCTGACGTAGTTACATATTTTATCATTCTTATCTTCTTCTTTTTTTCATTTCATCGGAGAAGTTTGAAAATTGTATTTGATTTTCTTTTTAAAGTTGTGCTGACAATGTCGATCTGTATGTGGGGGGACTTCTAGAGAAGTCCATGAACGGACGTGTTGGAGAAACATTTGAATGTTTAATTGGTAAACAATTTTATCTGACAAAATGCGGAGATAGATACTGGTATGAGAGGAGAGACTCAGATTTTGGCTTTACAAAAGGTATGATGCTAATTTTATTCAATATTGATTTGTGTTAAATGTTTCTATGTTTGGGTAGGATTATGACCGAATGATATGGATCTGTGTTAAATGTGTGTATGTTTGGGTAGGATTATGATCGAATGATATGGATCTGTATTAAATGTGTGTATGTTTGGGTAGGATTATGATCGAATGATATGGATCTGTGTTAAATGTGTGTATGTTTGGGTAGGATTATGATCAAATGATATGAATCTGTATTCGACGTGCATGTAATAATTTATAGTCATGGTAGAATCATTTCGATTTGTGTTAAATGTGTGTATGTTTGGGTAGGATTATGATCGAATGATATGGATCTGTATTCAACGTGCGTGTGTTAATTTATAGTCATGGTAGAATCATTTCGATTTGTGTTTAATGTGAGTATGTTAAGATATAATTATGGTCAACTCATACGGATTTCTGTTCAATGTGTGTGTTCAGATATAATCATGGTCGAATCACATGGATTTGTGTTCAATGTGAGTATGTTAAGATATATATATGGTCGAAGCATATGGATTTCGGTTTAATGTGTGTGTGTATTTTAAAGTATAATTATGGTTGAATCGTATTGATTTGTGTTCAATGTAAGTGTGTTAATGCATTATTATGATAGAGTCATATTGAATTTGTCTTCAATATGTGTGTGTTAAGATATACCTATGGTAAAATCATATGGATTTGTGTTCAATGTGTATTTGTTCAATGTGTGTGTGTTCAGTCTTTGTGTGTTTAGGTATAATTATGGTAGAATCATATGGAGAATGATTTGTGTTCAATGTGTGTGTTAAGGTATTATGCTGGCACACATATCATCATGGATTTGTGATCAATGAGTGTGTGTGTTAATGTATAATTATGGTAGAATCATTTGGATTGATGTTCAATGTGTGAATGTTAAGCTATGTGTAGGGTAAAAGCATATGGATTTGTATTTAATTTGAGTGTGTTAAGGTATAAATATGGTCCAATCATGTGGATTTGTGATCAATGTGTGCGTGTTAAGGTATTATCTTGGCACACTCATGGATTCGTGTTTAACGAGTGAGTGTGTTAAGGTGTAATTAGGGTAGAATTATATGGATTTGCGTGATTTCCAGTTCGACCATATGACGACATGTTATACATACCAATATGAATATTGATGATATTATTAGAAAACTATTTTTATATAAGGGGGACATGAATAGGTGAAATGTTTTAAATCACATACACAAGAATGATATTTGCTCCTTTAGACATACAATATCATATGAATCTTGAACTAATCTCCTCATAAATGAACAGATGCGGATAAAGGAAATAAATTAACGGACTGTTGAAAAGGAGCTATTGAAAGTTTACTTTTTAAAGATTTTAAGTTTTTATGTTCCTGATAAATGTAGGGAGAAATAGTAAATACGCTGCTATGCATAATGCAATACATTGTGAGGACTAGTTTCCATTATATCTTATGATGTACCGTTTGTTCTTTCGTCCATACTTTAAAATAGATGATAAGTTACTATACTACCTGTAACAACAGTCTTATTTCTAAATGTATTTTACTTTTATAAGGAAAAAAGGTGAAAATACTGCACGCTTTAAACAACGGAAAAGGAATATGTTCGTTAACCCCAAAAATCCGATGGAGAATCATAAGCAATAATCAGGATACTTAATATAAAGCAGTTAAAACAAGGATAATACGGTTTGTGTTTTTCTCATTATGCCGTACGGTTGCCTATAATTGCTTACTTCCACTTCGTTTGAACATGGGTGGATATAAGCTGTCTCATTGGCAATCAAACCACATCTCCTTATCTTTATACAATGATTATTATATAATTACAATTATCCATGATGTTTGTTATACCTTAAATTCTCGAAAGGGTTTTATATTTTTTTTTTCAATTTATTCAACCTATCCAAAATAAAATGTAGGGTACGTTTAAACAATACCAGTGATGCGATAGTCACACAGACAAATAAAAAGATACAAAAATTCAAAATATATATACGCCACTTGTTTCAAAAACTATAATGACAGGTTTGTCGATTCTTTTACAGCACAGCTTAACTCAATCAAAAAGATAACAATGTCCAAAGTGCTCTGTCAAAACCTTGGATTGGATCGTATTCAAAACGAGGCTTTCATCCGACCCAAAAACAAAAGGTAAATTACGAATAAAGTAAACTTTGTAATATTCCAATAGTCATTAATCCAACTGATGTCCTATATTCACACTGTTCAAACGAACATTAATTATTTATACGCTAAAACCTTCTATACTTTTGTACAGCATACATATCTGAGCACATCCAGATATGTATACTTTTATTCGATCAGGCTTTATAGAAACTACATACATATTTAGGTACTGTAAAGGCACAGTGACCATCTCATGTTAATAACAATAAAAATCTCACATAACATTTCATCAATTCCTAAAACACTTCTCAATAGAAAACGAGATAATCTGATTCCAAAATCTACTGTAAAAAAAAAACAATTGCATCTTCATTCTGATCTAAAAGACTGCTATCTACAAAATATATATAAAATATGTGACATCTTTAACCAACGCATTCTATCGTATCTACAACTTTGCGAAAATTACTTCAAAACATTCTAATATAAATATGTTTATACGAAATTTAACTTCAGTACTACAATATCGGAAAGATGTGCTACAATGGTCACTGCCCAAACCTCGACAATAAATCTGGTGCAAACTTTTCTTTTATACTGACCGCCAAAACCGGTTTTCTTGAACTATTGAAAACACAATAGCCTTAACTGTTTTCAAAATCAATCACATTTGAAGGAGTAAGATGGATTTACTTTGTGTATACAAAGCATGTGAATCAAAAGGCAAGGCAATTACTTGCCCTACAGGAACACCAAGTAATTCCCCGTGTTTGTTTGTTCCATGATAATTTATTTGATAGTTTACTTTGTTTGTTTCTTTCAATTTTTTTTATAGAGAGGCGAAAGATACAACAGGGATATTCAAACTCAAAAGTCGAAAACAAACTGACAATGTCATGGCAAAAAACGAAAAACGATGAAAAGGCAAACAATAGTACACAAAACATAACATAGAAAACTAAAGACTGAGCAACACTAACCCCATCAAAAACCGGGGATGATGTCATATACTCCGGAAGGGTAAGCAGGTCCTGCTCCACGTGTGGCACCCGTCGTGTTGCTCAAAGTAGTACAAACCCGATGATAAGTCTAAATCGGAAGGTCACATTCTATTATCTTATGACAATAGTGTTTTCTGTCTTTTTTAAGAAAATTTGATTGCTTGCTTTGTGTTTTCTTCTTTTTTCGTAAATATTAAAAGTCAGCTGTCATTGTTAATAGATATAACAAGCTAGAAGTCTCATGCGTATTGAATACCTACTGTTATGAGATAACAGAGTTAGTATACCGTATATCTTGAAACCGTGAAACTTATCAAACCAGCAGCTGAAATGTATGCATAGAGTCAAGCGGTACGCCAAACAGGTCAAATTTAAAATATTGTTAGTATTAAAGGCATATTTGAAAGTTTCATAACGGACTAAATCACAATGCATACATGAGGAACATAATGTATCAAACACATATAATTGGATCCATTTCGACATAACTATAATGGGCAGGGATGCTTTTACTTTACTTTCTTATGCGGATGAAGATTTTAATGAATACAAAGTGTTTACATCAATCCGCAAATTCTGAGACAGATTCCGAATCTAGCGAATCAGAAAATTTCTGCAAACGGAAAAGTAACGTAACTTACTTTCTGCATCTTTTACTAAATAAATTCATCATAGATACCAGGATTGAAATTATGTACGCAAGACACGCGTTTCGTCTAAAAAAATACTCATCGGTGACGCTCGAATAAAAAAAGTTATTAAAAAAAAAAAAAATAAACAAACAAAGCACGAATTTGAAGAGCATTAAAGACCCAATATGCCTAAAAGTTTTGCCAAATTCCTTTATCTCTAGTTCAGGAAGATATATATTAATTGAACCAAATCCGTAAACATTTTTAGATTGTTAATAGAAATACATCATAAATATACCTGTATGTGAAATTAAATTATCCAGCTTCTTTAATCTTTTTCTTTGTTTTAAAAGCACGCACGGTCATGAATTGCAATGTTCCGTTGTTTGGTAAATAAAAATGAATCGAAAACACATAGCGATTATCGATTTGCCAAATACAGCTAAGGTAATCTATTCCTGGGGTATAAAAATCTAAGTGTTTCGAAAAATTCAAAGTTTTGTAAACAGTTAATTTGTAATTGTGACCATATCAATGAAAACTCATGTCAAGTGTTGACGACTACTGGGCTAAACCCGCTCAAATTTAGAAAAATGGGAAAACTTATGAATAGAAAATTCGCACAAGAATAATCGAAAAGGATGACGTTCGACAATTATGACAAATGACTATTATACAAGGTAAATGTTACAGATATTCAAGTATACATGATATTCTTTATTATTGTCTATTTGTAGAAAATTGAAGAAATGTAAGAACTTGCCGGATTTGAATTTAAATCTATGGAGAGAAAATACTGACTAACAGCAACAATTTTACAAAGGAGAAACTTTAGAAAGAGTTTGAAAGTTGCACGAGCAATTATGATAAAATAAAATGTAAATAGCATTGAAATAAATCGCATGATTATTAACATATCGTCAATGGTGTAGTTTTTCATTCCCAGTGCAATGATATTATTATTTTGCAGCTTTATTATGACTAAAAATGTTGGTGGAACGTCATAATGTAGCACAAAGTAGGTACTTAAAACAAAATTGAAAGTACATAATTATAAAGAAATGCCTTCCAGATTCTCATTTCATCTACTTAATTTAGGACGGTATTTCTTAATAAAATAATTTTCTTTATTAATTCTCATTGGTTCCGTTGTATTATCTGAACACTGATAAAATGGAAAAATGAAGAAATTTGGATGATTTGATCCAGCAAATCTATCAATATGTTCGCTAAGTGGGATTTTACTTGTGCGCGGTACTCGAATTTGCTGTCAATGTACTGTCATTCGTTTTCTAATGGTATTGCCGGTTTGTCCAATATAAATTTCTTGACAACCACTGCAAGTGATGATGTATAGAAGATTTTCCGATGCACATGTAAAATCTATACTATTAAACGAGAAGACTTCATTTTGTGTGTCGCTTCTCTTCCTTCCACAATAAATTAATCATCATGTCTCTGTGTCCTATAGGTACCATGCATAGTCGCATTTATCATCCATTCTTATGATTATTCAGATTGAGTTATTTTGGAGGAAAATCGGAAAAAAAGTCGTCCGGATATTGTTTCCGTCATCAGACTGACTTTTAAGTCATATATAAGATTTCCGGTTTTAAACTTTCACATGATTTTCATAAGAACTCGGAGAGAGGACACTTATTTTCGCGTTTATCGACATGTATACTATGATTATACTACTATGATATATAAAGACTCTCTATATAATTATAGCAGTGATCGCCGTAGAGAAGAAACTTGGAATTGATAGTTAAAACAGAGACATAATACTGTCACATATAATATATATATTGTATTATATGTCTCTGGTTAAAAGCAAATACACTTTATTTATAATATACGTATGTTCATAGTATACCAAGGGCTTCAGATCACAATTAATTCCCTTTGTTCGTGGTCTTGGAATATAGTTCCCAATTATGATATGGGGTAATGCTTCCTAAGTATTCTGTCTACTGTTTTCTTTGAAATGTTTACTATTTAAGGGGTTATATCAGTTGCATATATAAATGAGTAAATAGTTATCAAAGGTACCAGGATTATAATTTAATACGCCAGACGCGCGTTTCGTCTAAGTAAGACTCATCAGTGACGCTCAGATCAAAACATTTATAAAGCCGAACAAGTACAAAGTTGAAGAGCATTGAGGACCAAAAATTCCAAAAAGTTGTACCAAATACGGCTAAGGTAATCCATAGATGTAATATTACATGATGTCATCTATGGGTTATCTATTCCTGGGATAAACAGGTGGAAAAAATTTAATGTTGAAAGTGAAATTAGTGATTTGGCCAAAATGAAAGTAGGGTAGAAATTTGCCTTAGTCATTTATTCAAGATTCAAATCCTATCATTGGCATGTTGATAGCTAGTGCTCTCAAAAGAAAAAAAAACACTGATGGAGTGTCCTAGAAGCATATTTTATTAGAATAATAATGGTCTAAAAGCAGTTCTATTTATTTCATGTTTGAAGCGGTGCAATTTAACTTGAATTTTACCAAAAAATGCATTGTAACAAAGGGGAAGAATAATTGTGGTCTGAGACCAGAACCGCGAAAAAAATGGAATTTAACAGAAAGGAAACAAATAACGGACTTTTGAAAAAAGGGAGAGGGCTTTTGATACCTTTTCTGAAATTCTCCAGACATAAAATCTTTTATAAAAATTCATCCTAAAACAATTTACATACTTTAAACCAAGCTCTACATGCCCGCGATTTCGCGGGTGTGTTCTAGTTGTTCTTAATTTTCAAAATGCGTTAAAAAAGCAAAATGTATCGCCAAAAATCAGATACTGCAATGGGTACAAAAGTTGCACCTACATATGCCAATGTTATGATGGGATACCTCGAGATCCAGATGTATCGGAGATCACAACGAAAATTTGGACATTTATTTTATAAATTTGTGATGGAAAATTGGAAAAGATACTTAGATGATTGTCTTATTAATGGAATAACAGCATAGATATGTTAATGGAATTCAAAGATTTACTCAATGAAATAAAAGAGAACATACAATTTATTATGGAATACAATAGTAACCAATTACCCTTTTTAGACATTCTTATCTTAAAGAACGGAACCAACATAGAAACCGATATTTGCTATAAACCGACTGATTCCAAACAATATCTACTTTTTGCATCATGTCATCCAAAACATACTAGAGTCAATATACCATATAACCTAGCTTAACGCATATGTACTACCATTTCAAATCCAGAATTAAGGGATACAAGATTAAATGAATTAAGATACATGCTCTTGGACCGAAAATATTCGAAGAGAATAATTGATGACGGAATAACTAGAGCCAAATCTTTTAGCTTACAGGAATTACGGAAAACTAAATCACATTCAAAAGAAAACGTTTTACCGTACATTTCTACTCACAACCCCAGAAATAATGAAGCTTTCAACACTATACATAACAATTTACCATTTTTACAGAGCGACCAGAGGATGTTGAAATTATTTAATTCACACAAAGTAATTAAAAGCAAACGGCATTCGAAATCATTAAAAAAAATGTTGACCCGCGCAACATTCCAAACTGAAAATAGTCAACCAAAGGTACAAAAAATGTGGTCGACCAAACTGTGAATCTTGTTTATACTTATCCGAAGGAACATAATTCGTTTTTAAATCAGGACACATTTTTAAAATAAAAAACAGTTTTACATGTGCATCGGAAAATCTTCTATACATCATCACTTGCAGTTATTGTTCAAGTATATTGTTTTTCTTAAATTGTTTAACATTTCACAGCGGTATAACATGTTACTTTAATTATTCTTCCCTTAGTTTTTTTATTTTGTATTTGCATTGTGTCAAGAAAATTATATTGGACAAACCGGTAATACCATTAGAAAACGAATGACAGTACATAGACAACAAATTCGAGTACCGATCACAAGAAAAATCCCACTTAGCAAACATATTGATAGATGCGCTGGAACAAATCATCCAAATTTTTTCATTTTTATATTTTAATAGTGTTCAGATAATACAACGGAACCAATGAGAATTTATAAAGAAAATTATTTTATTAAGAAATACCGTCCTAAATTAAATAGATGAAATGAGAATCTGGACGGCATTTCTTTATAATTATGTACTTTCACTTTCGTTTTAAGTACCTACGTTGTGCTACATTATGACGTTCAGGACTCAATAATAATGTCGCTAATTGACGTTACCCCTGACGACGTCGCCAGCAACGATATCCTTGAAAATCTGTCAAACAGTGACTGAACCGGTAGGATACTATGGAGAACATTTTTGAACAATATGGTTTTGTAATAGACAAAAAGTGAATATTCATATTGAATATAAATATTTGCTGCATTTTCAGCCTGATTTTTTTCCCTATATATATATATATATATTTGCACAACGATACCTTTAGTTAAGTACCATTCAGTATATATTTTAATTCTTTAGAGAAAAGAGCGTATACTCAACTTTCAGAATCGTCAGCCTTTTGCCGTCAAATTGTGTGCAATTTTTTTAACTATGATAAAAAAAAACTGATAAAGATTCATGGTTTGTTTTAAACTCTATGCTCACATCTGAATGCGTCAGATATCTTTTTAAAAGATACATGTAGTATTTGTTACCTTTGTAATTTGACAAAATTTCGTTTGCAAATTTAAGAAAACAACTTGACCGTTTTGAAACTGAATTTAATTTGGCTAATAGGAATAATCCTAGTAGAAAGGCTATTCTCATGAAACGAGACACGGACAGGCAAAGGAAAGTATTTGCATTTAGATGTTGTACATCGCGATGAGAATATTATTGAGATCTTGTTTAAAAAAGGGGTAACAAGCAACAATACATCCCTGCTTCGAAGAGCGAATGATGCTGTTCGAGGGTGTGACTCGCCGTTATTAATGGTCTGGACAGGAACATGTGACTTTACTAACTTCACGCCGGCAGATCGACATATTTCTTTAAATGAAATATCTGTGGCAAAAGTACTGGCCGATTTAAACGATGTCAAGAAAGAGATTTTGGAGGTTAATCCATGAACAGAGATAATTTTTTTTACATTGTCCCCATTTTTCAATGCAATTGTAGAATGACAAACAAGGTCATACTGATTCTGATTCAAAGGCAGATGACAATTTATTAGCTGATAAAATAGATCAGTTAAATGAAGAATTATTATCTTTAAATGCGGCCGATACGGGACCTAAATTTTCTTTGGACATATTAAAGTCTACCATAGTTAAGCGCGGTCGTGACCGGTCTACTATCAGGACGAAATATTCCTACAATTTAAAGACTTGTATGAAGATGGCAGCTAAGAAAGCTCCAGCAAATCGTTCTTAAGAAATGTTACTGACCACTTAGTCTTAGTTCAATTTCAATAATATAAATTAAATTTAGGATAAACTGAAAAAAAAACCATTTTTATGTATTTAAATTCTTCCATTTCTAATTCTTCGTTTTGTGAATGAGGATTGCTTCGCTCGCTGAAATTAACGTCCGAAATATAAATTCTAAAGTTCAAGCAATCATTGGAAATTCAGTGAACAATGTATCACAATTTAGACAGAAACAATATTTTATTACATACAGACAAATGTGTACTTCATCAATAGACTATAAATTTTGTTATACAATCATTTGTGACAATCGTACATGTACTACATCAATCCTGCGGACAATTAATAACCTTGGACAGAACAAAGAACATAAAACGATGTAAAACGAATCGCAAAGAAGGAGAAATATGACCGTGCGAGACCCTCATGGTTAGTCAAAGTCGTTAAACACCCCCGTAGTTACTGTAGTAGAGAAACATAAGCTGATGCATGTATCCTGCGGACAATTAATAACCTTGTAAGAAGGAACATAAAATGATATAAAACGACTAGAAAAGAGGAGAAAGA